TTCAGTATTTATGAATAAAGATTGATTGATTGATTTAATGTTACAGTAACATACACTGACAGCAAAAGAAACTGTGTCTAAATCTGATGTATTCGATTTTGTATTCGACCACAAAATAATATTCACAAATGATGCAAGACTGATCGTAAAATGCAACATACACTTGTGCAACTTAATTCCATCTAAAATAACTTTATTCTCTAAATGTGTAACTACATGTGCAAGATGACCACAGGATGGAAATATACCCCCTTGACCCTTCTTGACCTTGTGAGTCCTGGGCCCGGGATCATGAAACTAACTTAAGACCAAATTTTGTCTTAAATCGGGGATCACGAAGCTCAATCACTGAGAATATCTTAAGTCTAAGACAAAATTTGATCTTAAATCCTAAGACTGCCCCTGCGTAGACTTAAGACAAAATTTGTAGCAAGAAAGATGGCGGAGGTTGTTCGCCTCATGCGTTGCCTAGGGGCTAAAAAGGACAAAATAGCAAATCATCGGACATTTCGAGACCGATTCAACCCTCTTGATCTGTACAACGACGAAGAGCTCTTTGAGAGATATAGATTTCGTCGTCCTACCATTTTTTTCATCTTTGGTATAACCGGTGATGAACTGGCATAGATTCTACCCCTCTCAGCGTTCCCACAGTCTCCCACCTATTATTCAAGTTTTGATATTCCTTCAGTTTTTTGCTATTTGGGCTTTTCACCTTCAGTTGCTCAGTCGCTTTGTGTCAGCCATATTGGATAGTGTTTACAAAATCACATTATACGTACACCGGTAATGAGACGCAAATACCATCACGTATATTTCAAAATCAGCTGCGATACCTACATCCTTGAATTCCTCGTACATTTTAGAATCAAATGCCAAATGGTCTTTGTCACCAATACAAATTGTCTAGATGTAATGAAGCAAAATAAATGAGTCGTGAAAACGAACGCTGAAAAAAGTGCACTTGTTGGAAATGTAAACAAAGCCATTTGTCTATTCGTTGAGTACATTGGCTCAGCATTTTCAGAATAAACACGGGAAGAGAATCGTAGGGAGAATTAGGGAATATATACATTGCAATGATTTGATATTTTCAACAGAACTTGTCCAGTGTGACGCCATGACTGACGCAAAATCACGCACAAAGACAACGGTATTTATCAGTATTTATCGGAATTTCCGTTGGTTTCAATGAAAAATATAACAACAAATAACAGTACACAGATTGTAAGAATGGGTCTGATTACTTACATGTCACTTTTATGTATATACGAACCCTGAATCAACGAAAGTCCTCTTGTAAAATCCCGCGTACTGTTGACAGTCAACACGCCATTTTGTAAAAGTCGGTCACCGGTAGTGATGTCATACGTCAACGTATGTTGTACATATTAGGTAATTTCTTTGAGGTGAAGGTCCTTGAATGAAAGTACACACGATCATTGTGTCCTAGCAGGCTATTTACAGTTTCAATTATGATGTAGATCGTGCATGTCTTGTGTACATTTTTTCACACATTTAATTTCACTTTGGATATTAATCAATGTTCAATATGATATCATAAGTAGATATAGGCCACAACATGTATGAAGCTTTAATAATATCCTGTTTGTTTGAACAAAGTTTACACATGAAATTGATAAGTTTATAGTGTCGTATACGATATTTATTTATTTTGGACAAGTGATACTAGATGAAATGTAAATGCAACTGCAACATGTATGTATTTATAGGGAGTGTAATAGTCAATATTATAATTTCATATAAACAGTGTCCACGAATAGCTGTATAACTAAACTGAAGATATAACTTAAAGAAAATTGATATTATTTTTTGTTAAAATATATGCACAAATTTCTAGAAGAATTGTCCTTGTCTTGGAATTTTTTTATGCCGTTTGATATACAGAACAGTGATATCTAACGATTCGCCAGGTGCGCGTTAGTCACAAACGACTTATGAATTATTTCTCTAGTTTTGCATTATATAATCAATGGGTTCATCCTTTATCAAATATTGTGACCTCAAGATATTAAACTGTTCACTATATTTCTACAAGAATTGTAAAAAGATTTAAAATATAACCCGTGCCATGTACCCCGTTGGTGGACGATTATCCTTATATGATTATCCTGTTAATTCTATACCAAGAGAGCTTTTTCGCATCTTTTATGGTATAATTTTGAGTCAAGCTGATGAGAAATATAAATACATAATAATGAACAAATACATGTACAATATTGAATAATAATTTTGTTTGGTTTGAAATAATTTTTTGAGTACTTGCATGATTACGTAAAATTGATGCCAAACAGGTGCGTGTCTTGTCCAATTAAGGTACACTGTACATTATCGAATTGTTTATCTATTCAAGACATTATTTACATGGTAAACGCAGTCTTTTTATGTTGTGTCGAAAAAGCGTCAAATTCCGTTTTAAACACATGGACTTTTTCCATATCATGAACGAAAATTAGGGGAGATATATATCAATCAAAATACCAGTGTCGTCTTTCTCCGACGTTATCAAAGACAAACAAGCAGCCATGACGTCAAATAGAATTGTGTCATTTTCTTAGTAATTAATTACATTTGATGATACTGCTAGTGATCCATTTAGATTGGTGCAACATTAGTCAAATTACACTTGCACAATCAGGAGAATGTTGGAATCTAAGGACTAATTTATGGTTTACATAGGGCCATCCATTTCGCTATCACTCATTTTTTATGAAGTATAATTTCATAATTTCTGATGGCTTTTTTATGCCTAAACGTATACAGTTTCAATATCAATATTTGTGTTGGAATAGTTTCGTTCCTCGTGAACAAAACACCACGAAAATACACTGTCCTTACCCACAGCTAATTCTCACCAAGTGACCCTAGTTACAATAAACTAGTGCTAAGCATAGCCGAGTTATGCCCCCTTTCCTTTGAACGCGTGTAACCTCTCTGTCGCCTTTTGACGTCATAGCGGTAAATCAGTTTTCGTCATTTACGGCAGGCTATTTTTTGCATTGAATTTATGTCGTTATACATACTCATATAACTCCATTTGATATATATTTATGTCGTTCCAATATTAGGCAGTATTTTGTTCGCTCACAGTTTCGGTAAAGCTGCTAAATAATTTTTTTTGTCGCACAGTACTTTTATTGGTGTACTCTAAAAAGCAGAGAAATTTCCTGTATTTCGACACAGAATAAATTCTCGGACAAAACTTAGCAGCGTCTTTTTTTCAAACCGGTTTAATATTTACAGTTAAATTTACACCATCAGATAGGAAATTTAATATTCTACATTACTGCGTAATTTCATAGCCAGAGGTAGATCCAGTGCCGAGTGAGCGCAATTCTCGCACAACCTTCTCTTTTCCGATCTTAGGAAAATGTGCGTCAGAAAAATAACCTCGGCATCCAATGATTACAGTAGTACGATATTACGTGCGTGTGTCCCTATGACGACGGTCTTAGACTTAGACTTAGCTAAGATTTTGCTGAGACCGTTTCAAGATCCAATTTTAGAGCGAATCTTAGCTAAGCAAAATCTTAAAAACTTAAGACAAAATTCGTGCTTAGCAAAATTTGAGCTAAGACCACTTTCATGATCCCGGGCCCTGTATTTTCACTGTCGGTGTATTATTACTATGTATCGTTGCTTATTTCATTATTACGAACATTACATATGGTAGGTGAAAGATTCACACTGACAACACTTTCCATACATGAGAGATTAACATGAATGGGTTCAATAACAAAGCCAGAGGGATAATATTGCAACAAAATGGACAGAAGACACATGATGAGGAAGGCAATTATACAGAATTAAGTAAATATAGGTGGGATGATAGGATAAAGGAGATAGAGCTATTGAGTTCAAAGTTGGCGGATAAGTCGAAAAAAACATATCTGTGTTGATTGATGACTTGTGGTGACGAATCTGCACTATTTCTGCTTGTTTTCTTTTCATGAAGTCAGGAAACTTGTTGGAGAGGATTTGAGCGATGACCCAATTGATGTGGTGTTTGTGGCAGTTGCTGAGATGGCTGATTTACTGTCTGGTATAATGGTTGAAGTTTTGCACTCTTTGATTGAGTATTTGATGAGGCGGGATGTTTCACCTCATACAATTGTCCACAGTCATAGTCAATTATATACGTATGTCTTTTGGTTCTTGTGATTTATTAAATTGACTTCAACCATTAAGTCATGCAGCAAGTCAACCATCTCGGACCATATCAGCAGCTTCCCAATCACCACATCATTCATTATGAGAGAAATGTACATGTTTCAATTTTGAAATATCAAAGTGAAAAACGTGATCAATAATAGTCCTCAACCATGCCTGTTTAGAAGCACTGATTAAGTAGCCACCTCAGTATGGGGGTTACAAAATTGTATTTGCACCATCTTTTGTTGCCAAAAGTTCCCAGTGTCGTATCCTCTCAGGATATGCCTATGTGTATTTTGTAGACTAAAATATGCTTGTGTTCTGCATTCGCAAAACTGGAAGCCACAAATAAATTCTCAACAATTAAATTCATTTTGCTGATTTTGCACATTCGAGGCCTTGATGGTTGTAAAGGCTGTAGTAACTAAACCCAAGCAATAAGTTACTGAAAAGGTTCAAGACTGCCTTTAACCACTTCATTGAGCATAAGTGCGGCTAGAGGACTGAGACCATTTGTTTGCATCAAGCTGTTATGTTCATTGTCTGTATAATTAGGCATACAGGTCACTATTGCTTGATGCAAGAGGTGACTTTTTGGATCAGGTGACTTTGTTGAGCAAATGTTATTGTACCCTGATGGAGTGGGATGTTGCTCATTCTATCAACCACAGGTTTGTCTGGCTCAGACTTGATAATTTATAGACTGCCATGATATGAATGGAATACAGCTGACTGCTGTGTTAAACAACAATCACTTGCTTAGCATATCTTAGATATTGTGTGTCTGTCCCTTGCATTATTCCTCTATTTTTTAACATCACTTGCAGATCACTGTGACTCTCATGTGTGTGGTGGTGTACCTTGTCCTTCCTACAAGTTGTGTGAGCGTGACCGTTTCAACAAATATGTATGTGTGTGTCCAAATGGCAAAACAGGAGACCGATGTGACAAAGACCCTATCCAGTGCAAACCATCTGATGTCAGTTGCCTCAAAGGTATTTATGTTACTTCATTTTTCCTCATCTGTGCGAATGTTATGTGAGGTTGTCATGGCCTGCTTGTCCAGTGTGAGCAGCATCTGTAAACATCTTTTACAAAGAAACCGCTGGTCAAATAAAGTTTGAAACGTACATGTTCCCACCAGGGATAGCAGCTGAATTTGTTCAAGAGATTCTAATCCAATTTTCATTTTGGAGATCATGGCAGCTACATTGAAAAATACATTAATGGCCATTACTCAGCTATTTTTGTTCAAATTGTAGTGAAATTATTTGAAATAGTTTATAGTTTACAAGATTTTACATTTGGCACTGTAAACATCTTCTGTCATATTGCCAGACTGAGGAATCTGAACTTAATCATATTTGTTTCTCAATATTTTGTTCAAATCATTGGTATTTTGCAGAAGATATTTAGATCTTTGAGAGCAACTTAACTAATTATCCAGGTGAGCTACAGTGCTATGGCACCATTCTTATATATATAACCTTTCTTTGATTCTGTTCCATAAAGTGGTCCTATTCCTGCAACTGTCAGGTTTTACCAGTTGTCATGTTATTTCCCACAACAGGTTATCACATACTTGTTAAAAGTACTATGAAATATGATTTTTAGGGGACCGTCCAATGACATTCATGGGTCGTAGCTATGCTCGATGGGAACTTAACCTGAAAACTGCCAAACAACTGACGCTGTCGCTGTGGATCAGGACCAGGCAGCTTAATGCCAACTTGATGAACACCAGGGGAATTGCAGACTACAGTGTACTTGAGGTAACAACTCTTGCATCCTCAACAGAAAATAGTACATCGTTTAGAGGCTAAAATTCTGCAGAAAATGTCATTGAAAGTCCTTACATTGGAATGATAAATTTTGCAATTAACTCTTTCAACAACAGTCAACCAAGTTCCCAGAGACTCTTGTGTGTTAGGTTAAACCTTCATTTATCATGGCTACTCAAAAGTAAACACATTAACTTATCTATGATAGTTTCTGGAATGTTTTTGAAGTGGAATTACCCCAACCTTCATTATTATCCCCCGCCACGAAGTGGAAGGGGGATATAGGAATGGGTGCCGTCCATCTGTCTGTCACATTTCGTTTCCGGAGCAGATCTTGAAAACCGTACCAAATTTCTTTGCCAAACTTGGCACATAGATAGGTCGAGTGGTGAACTGGTGCCTTTTGATAGTTTGGGATATTTAAAAAAAATATTTTTTGAGTTTCCATGGCAATGACTTAGACTTAGACTGAAAATGGCGGTAGTCCTCGTTTCTGGAGCAGATCTTGAAAACAGTATCATATTTCTTCACCAAACTTGGCACATAATGTCATCTCGCATTATTGATTACATTTCCATTCTTGTTGGTAAGTTCTGCATTGCTTGTGTGTATGTTCCTCCAAAAGTGTCTTGGACACGGTTGTTGCATTCATTGACTAACTTTATGCAGAAACACAACTCATTACAAATACAACAGTGTAACTGATCTTAAACCTTCTCAACTGTATTAACACTGCCTTCTATCCTGTATATATTCTTGTCAACCATACTCTCAGTCTGTACTTCACTTGCTTGTTAACGGTGTTAGAACCTACACCGAAACCATCGATCCTAATTGTGATAAAGAAGTTGTTTGTGCTTATGTCTCATCCTTACTCTTTCCAAATACAGTTACATATTCTGTCATAAACTGCAGATGGGAAACAACACCAGTAATAACTATTTTTACTGCTGCAAATTAGGCCATTTACAAAAAGGCCCAGTGAACATAGTTCACGGGAGCTAATGCATTGCAGACAACCGGACATGTCATATTGGCAGGGGATATGAGTATTTCATGCTTGTTTTCTATTGTCTTATTTTCTTGGGTACAAAATCACATTGGGCCAACACATCCTCCATCCAGTCGCCGTGTACCTAGTTTCATCCTTCTGAGGACAGGGTTCTCAGAAAAAGTTTTCAACAACGTCTTTAATATTCTAACTTGTCCTTCTTGCAATGATAGACCAATAACAATATTATGTTGTTATATGATATGTCATATCAATATGTTATGTCACTCCCAGCTGCCATCCTTGTCAGAAAATGATTAAAAAATCACACAAAAATATAAAACATAGGAGTGAAGACTGCTACCCAGGTTAATACAGGTAAACAGGTGATGATAGATATTAAAATACTGTTTGTATTTCAGACTTTTCTCGATGATAGTTTATCAACTTTTGCATATTTCGCCTTGATGTGTGAGTTGTGGTTAAATGCTTCTGGTTTCAGCAATGATAAATAATATTGAAAGAATTTTGCTTGTTTTTCGTAATCTGCATTGTTTTGCTACTGAATGGTTTACCTAGAATGTATGTTAGTTCAGATGTGTATCATCAAATAGTTTGAATTATTCTAAGCGTTTGTTGACTTTTTCAACTAGACAAATCATGAGTTAGGCACGCAAACATGTTACATTTGTCGCCTTGTCAAAAAGCATGTCAAATGAAATTATGTTCAAACTCAATAAAAATATGATATTTATTTTTACGAAGATTTATGCATCCATGTAAATAATTCTAGAAAATTAAGTTAGATGTAACAAAATTATTGTAATTGTATTACATGATCACGATGCATGTATTTGTTTACGGCCGTAACTATGATCGTACAACTTTCATCCAATCAATGATGTTTCGATTCAGATTGTTTTTGTCTATAATTAAATACATTGAAAGTTGCTGTTTTTTTAGAAATTAATTTTCTTTGCATCATAAAATATCATCTAATTTTCAAAATGATAACATTGTAAAAAGAATATTGGACTGCATGCCGATTCTGGTTGCTGTGTGCCTAGAAATTTGGCTGATACTTTTTTAACTCGCGATATTTTCTTTTTGAGGTAAATAGACTACTGAAAGTTTTGATATTTTGCAAGCTGAGCATTGTCAATGTCATCCGTAATTTAAATGATACGCAAAGCCTTCTTAGTAAATAGATATTGTGAGTTTTGTTTGGGGGTGTCCTTATGCTATTCGCCTGTGGAATGGGTTCAGCATTATCATTGAGAGCTTCAACTATGTGCGTAACAATTGATTGAAATGTGGATGCATCGCAAATGTCCATAGGCCAAGAAATTTATGTAAATTGTTTACATGGATACAGTGATGCCTTGCCACAACACTACTTTTGCCGTCCAAATAATTGATGATGCAATATAGACGATCAACCGAGGTGGGGGGTAGATGACCAACACAATAGTACATGCTCTGCTCACCTAACACAAATACATGATTCATAGTGTAAACAAAATACTTTTCGAGTGTTATGCCCTTTAACAAAAACACATCGTATCCCTTCAGTAAATTCAGGTGATCGAACTGGTATAACAAACTTGGTCAATAAAAACATTAAATTATAGGATAAAACATCACTAGACATGATGATATACTATTTAAGTTGTATTTCCTGCCCCCCAAGGCATTGTTTTATATGCAGAGATTAAGATTACCATGTGTATTTTCTGGTAAAATATGCCAGAAATGGCAATCAGCTGTACAAACCTTTTCCCCCAATCTACTGGTGATTTAGGTAAAAAGTACCCAATGATACAACTTCAAAGAATTTGGATGCTATGGTCGGAAGAAATTGTATCTGAAATTATTATTTTATCATGAATAATATATTACAATATTGTGATATTTTAGTAGCAGCAGCAGCTTGTACTATATATATTTTAAATTATAAGAGCCATAAGTGTAGCTCTTTGGCACAGCTGATTGCTATTGCTGGATATTTTGACATATTGAACAATTTGACCAGTCACCGTAGGGACTTCCCGCGCTATATGTAAATGTATTTCTATTGCGAAAATGTTATGTTGACAAAAGAGTCAAACTGCCACAAATATTACTTTTAACGAGTCAAAGGAATCTGACACAACCTTTACTTACTGAATGTGAATAACTAAACTGAAGAGCTTTATTCTTCAAGTTTGTTTCCTTTCCACTTGTTTTAACATACTGTGTTATCTATTTATTATGCTTTGTCCAATCTACAATTTGCATGCTGTACAGATAGCAGTTTATTAATCTTGTCCAATTTCCAATAGATCACTGATGGTAAACTGCAGTATAAGTTTGACTGTGGTAGCGGAGAAGGCCTGGTCACCATACCCGTAGCTGTTAATGATGGCACCTGGCACAAAATAAATGTTGAGAGAAATGGTCGCATAGCAGAAATGGAACTGGACATGGAATACAAGGCAATGTCAACAGCACCAGGGACAAATGAGATCCTTAACTTGAATACCGACCAAATCTACTTTGGTGCTGAAGTCAACTGGCATGAACAGTATCAGGCCATCAGTCATGGCTTTGAGGGTTGTATGAAGGATATCCGCATATTTGATATGCCACTGCTCTTCTCAGGGAGCAACAAGGTGACAAAGGACCAACTGTTTGAGAGGATTGATTTCAACTGTAAAGAGGACCCATGGAAAAACCCTCCTCCAAGTGAGTTATGAAGCTAAATATGAACTGTCCTTATCCATTGCTTGTACTGGAGCGATTGATCAATCGATCGATCTGAAAGTCAAAACGAAAGTCAATGTGAAACTCAGTTATGCACAAATAAAAATACAAACTGATAACTATGTATTCCTATAAAAGGTCACAATCATGCTCATAGCATTACCACTGACTCATTATTTTACTACCAGTAAGTGCCTTTGATATAACTGTTTGACGCTTCAATGGTCTTGCCAGTCTTTACAATCCTTCATAAAATATAGTTATATTGCACCATTCCTAAGTTAAATTTTATGTGTAATATGATTCACCAGCTAATATTTATCATTCAAAGGAATGACAGTATGAGCAGTGCTGTGAACTGGATTTTTTTTAAATAGCCCATAAACCTTTTTAACTTCTCCTCTGTAATGGCTATATGGATTCAGATGAAATTTTGTGTGGATGACTGTTACTATATTTGGATTCAGGTTTGTAAAATGCATCAAAATCTGAATTTTTATGTGGTCACAAGGTCTTCTCCTCCAAAACTTAAAGGACCTGAGTGAGTGAAATGGTCACTAAATGTAGGTTCAAGTTTGTTTGAGGCTTTTTTTTTTAAATCAAATATGCCAGCAGCAATATATATGGAAAATAAATGCTCTTAAACATCTTCTTCTCCTCGGAAACCACTTCATCAATGAAGCTGAAATTTCACATGTTGTTCTAACCAATGATGACAACACCTCGAGTTCAAATTCAATTTTCACTATGGTGGCAACATCAATCATACTGAAAAAGCTATTTATGGTCATACTTCTGATTCTCTCACATGCATTTCCTTCTTCTGTAAACATCTTCTCAAAAACCACTTGACCAATGAAGCTGTAACTTCACATGCTTGTTCCCACTCACGATGGCACCACAGACATGTTGAAAATTCTAGGTATGGTCATTACAATTTTTGTACAAAATGTGATGATTTTTATCCCCCCGGCATATAATCTGTCTGTCCGTCCATCTGAATCGTTTCCGGAGCAGAACTCGAAAACCATTAAATATTCTTCATCAAACTTTATATCACTTAAGTGGTGAAGTTGTGCCTTATGCTATTTTGGAATTTTTCCAATTTTTATTCTATCGATTTTTCTTGAAAGCATACTGGACATAGGCTAACTTTGTGAGTGATGTTTGTTTCCTGGAGCAGAACTCCGAAACTTAAAAATTTCTTCATCAAACTTTGCATTTGTATCACTCACGTGGTTAAGTTGTGCCTTTTGCTATTTAGGAATTTTAGAAATTTTTATTTTTTACGTTTCCATGGCAATAAGTTGGATTTAAGTTTTAATATAGGGTGGGTTCACTTATGGAGTATAACAAAAAAACTGTTAAATATTTCCTTGCCAAACATTGCATGTCTATATATAAAGCACATACTGAACTGGTGCCATTTGATATTCAGGAGTTGTAGAAATGTTTATTTTAGAATTTCCATTGCAGCTGGGGCGGTCGGGAAGCCTAGTGGTTAAAGCGTTCGCTCGTCACGCCGAAGACCCTGGTTCGATTCCCGACATGGGTACAATGTGTGAAGCCCATTTCTGGTGTCGCCCGCCGTGATATTGCTGGAATATTGCTAAAAGCGGCGTAAAACCATACTATCTCTCTCCATTGCAGCTATTTTGACATGGGCTAAGAGAAATGTTGGGTCAGTTACCTGGTTTGGGACCATAATGTGTTAAAATGGGCGGGGGCTAAAGATGACTTTGTTGACTATACGCTTGTTTAGTTATTGTTTCTTGTAATTTGTCATTTGTTTGCATGAAAAAAACCCACAGAAACACACTTGTTTTACTTTCCATTTCATATGGATGCGACCATGGTGGATCTTTTGTGGGTAAACAATGTATGCTTCTTCAAGAACATTCAACTCTTGACTCATTGCATACAGAATTGCACATTTACTTGTGGTTACTTTACAGACAGCTGTCGGGGGGTTATGTCATCTTTCTGATGACTCTTGTTTTTATTTGCTTTGTTAGCTGTTGGAATCAACATGATCCATGTTTTGTTATATTTTTAACCTTATTTTGACCATGCTCTTAAATTCTCGCAAAGTGCTTATTTGGCTTTTACATTTCTCAGTGACCAGATATTTATATTATACTGAAAAATGTCTTTGTTAACTTGACAGATGTTTTATTTTAAATGAAATCTCTGTTTTGAGAAATCTTTTCTGAAAGATGTGAACAAGCTTTATGAGAACATTAACTTATATGAGCTAATTAGTACCTGATGAATACCTGACTTGAACGTTTCTTTAGGGAGGCCATTACTTGTCGGAAAGTTTCAGTGTCACATGCAAATTGACAAAAGATGCTACTCAGGTCATAAGTTTATCTTAATCTCATATCTGTTCTTTATCTCATCCAGGGGCGGTCGGGTAGCCCAGTGGTTAAAGCGTTCGCTCGTCACGCCGAAGACCCGGGTTCGATTCCCGACATGGGTACAATGTGTGAAGCCCATTTCTGGTGTCCCCCGCAGTGTTATTGCTGGAATATTGCTAAAAGTGGCCTAAAACCATACTCACTCACTCACTCACTCTTTATCTCATCCACTGCTTTCTTATGTTTTCATGAATATTAAAATATATATGTCCCTGTGGCATGTTTCACTTCATGACTTCGGCATGTCCCCCAAGGAATTTGTAGTTTAATGGAAATTGAAATATGAAAAGAATATGTACCGTAAGTTATATGCTATTTTCTGTACAAAGTGAAATTAGACTAGAAAATAAGGTTCACTGACCAGTAAGTCTGTCTCCATGGTGATTGTTTAATGCTTCAGACATCTGCAGTAGTCATCCATGCATGCATGATGGCACGTGTGTATACAGTGGCCTCAACTCTTTCACCTGCCAGTGCAAGGCACGATACCTTGGTTCCAAGTGTGAAGTGGATACCAACCCATGTCAGGACAGTCCTTGCCTGCATCAAGGTACATACTCAAAAATTATGATTTTCTTATCTTAAGTTCATGCATGTACTGTACATTCTGTTATTGTTAGAATTTATAGCCTATAGCATTATTATACTTGTAGCATTCTTGAAAATATTTTGTAAACGCCAAGATTATGGGTATATGTTATGTAATGTAGTAACAAAAGTTTAACTTCCCGTCAGGTGGACTAAATACGCAGCCGGAACTTAAAGAGTTTTCAGCGGGCATGCGGCCACACGGCATTGCCTAAGAAATTGTTAGAATTTATAGCCTATATCAGCATTGCCTAAGAAATTGTTTGTCATTATTTTTTTCTCTGATTGTTTACCATTGGCACAAACACTTTTGCTGAAGAGGGCTGTCAAGAATTTAACTCCCAAAATGCTGGAAATTGACAAACTGAAAAGTGACGAACCAGTTTTCTCTCCGAGTGATGTCACAAGCAAAGATGGCGACTCCCATAATAGCCTACTGTTTGCCATACCGGACAGGGAACCAGCTTTAAATAAGCTCCCTCAAGCCACGCCAGTGACTCAGATTGACAGCCTCTCTGCAGAGCACATTGCTAACTTGCTAAAAATTCCCCTTGAAGATCATGACACTTGTCCAGGTACTGAATTTTTTTTCGGTCCATTGAGGATTCTCATGCTTCCGTGATCCAGGGCGCCGGGACATTCTGCGATATCTGTGATTACGTTTCCAATCACTGGCGTGTGATAAAAGTGCCAAAATGGGCAAAAACGAGTGACATGCCCCTGATAAAAATATCCCCTTTGCAATCCTTCGAAGCATCCCACAAGATACTCAGAAATGGTATCGGAAGATGGAACACAGCTGCCTCAAGTGATGCATTACATAGGTTTTTACATCAAGATTGCTACTCTGGGTCAGTCATTTTCCTGGCAGAGCGTACTACAGTACGATAGGGAATACAGGCAGAAACAGTGTGAACTGCAATTCCTTTGGGGGGCAGACAATACCTATGTCATGCAGCTCTTGCTTGTGAAAAGAGAACAGCCAAAGCTCAGTGCAATACCCCAGCCAGGTCGTACACTCTGACTTCGTCAACCAAGCCAAAGAGCCAAAATCAACCCACACTCAAACATTCCAATGTGCATCAAAATGGAACTCGTGGGGCGGTTGTCCATATACATCATGCCGTTTCACACATGTTTGCAGCATATGTTTTGCATCCAATCACAAGTTAATAGAGCATCCCTCAGTACCAGCGATGCAGTCTCATTCTGGGAACTACACTAGTCAGCAGGGCAGTAAGCATGATACTATGGGCATGCCACTGCATGGGACCTACACTATTTTTTCATTTGGTCCGTGCCAGAGTTACCCTTTGTCTCAGCTTGCGGCCAACTTCCATTCATGGGATTTAATGTTACAAGGGGACAGTGGGAGAGAATGGATATTAAACGTGTTATGCAAAGGTTTTGATATTGTCAACAGAGAAGAAATCCTTTCAATTGTACCCAGCGAAGTAAACAATTTACTGTACATTCAGACCCGTGAAGATCCGGGGTTGAATAGGTCTTCGGCAACCCATACTTTCCACAAAAGGCGACTATGCTCGCCGTAAGAGTCGACTAACGGGATCGGGTGGTCAGGCTTGCTGACTTCGTTGATGCATGTCATCGATCCCAACTGCGTGGACTGATGCTCATGATGTCAATCACTGGATTATCTAGTCCAGACTGGATTATTTACAGACCGCCAGCATATAGCTGGAATATTGCTGAGTGCGGCGTTAAACAACAAACAAACAAACTGTACATTCTGTTTTTATTAGAATTTATAGCTTATAGCATTATTGTACTTATAGTATTCTTGAAAATATTTTGTAAACCCCAAGATATTACATGTTTAATTTGAATAATTGTCCGATCTCACAGTATGCATTTCTTCTTTCTTCTTTAATCCTATGTTGAAACATGCTTGAACCATGTTTGCAGCTTCTAAAACTAAAAACATTTCACCCAAACACACCCCAGCATCCCTATGGTTACTGACCATTAACTAGGTCAGTTACATGCTCCCATTCCAGGTAACCTTACATGACTTGATAATGTTTGTATCTCTGCGAACTCATTCTCTGTCTCATCACCTCACTGTGGAGACGTGTTTTGGAGATCGAGCATCTGGGGATCGACGCTTTTGTAAGAACCCTACCAATTCTTCACGTACCATACCGGTTCCAAGTGTCAGAATCGCCAACGGGATCGTTCCAGCTCCTATGATTATCATCATCAACCAGACTTTCGTGCATGGGATCCTAATTGTTACAGCAATTATGCAGACCACCCCCGTGGCTGGGAGAGCTACCCCTGGTATCCTCCTTGGCGTGGTTATCCTAAAGCTTTGTCCTGTGACTTCCGCTCCCACACTGATTATACCACTCTCATTGGGATCAACCCTTTGTTTGTCATTGCAGTGAAGAGCCTCGAATTTCTTCTCCTTCTTGTAGATGTACATCTCTGTCTGTCACTCTGATTGTCCTCTCAGTTTCCAGTTCGGGTTCCTCCTATATCCGCTGTGACGACTCCCCTTGTGAGGCTCCCTTCATGCACAGTCACCAGACCAGGCTAACAATCCAGTGCCGAACCTAAATCATTCCTGCCCTCTGCCCTCCAGAATCATCCCAGGGTACCTCCTATTGCTAACTTGACTTACACACTAGCTCCAGCACAGACTGTTCCTCTTTGTTCAGCTATTCAAATTCCTACAGATGTTGATCCTTCACCAGCTGGTATCGATGTGGATCATCAAGGGAAGTGACATCTATGTCAGTAATGTTGCCAACTCTCTGAGTTGGATTTTTAACCTGCCCTTGATATTATTATGCTTTCGGTGGATCAGCATTTAACTATTTCATTAAAAATATTTTGTCCTTTCATCAACCAAGAAACCTATGCAGACTGGTTATCCATTGTTATCTTACCTCCCTCATCTTTTTTCAAGACCACATCATCTACCAGGGAGGCGGTGGGGTAGCCTAGTGGTTAAAGCGTTCGCTCGTCACACCGAATTGGGTACAATGTGTGAAGCCCATTTCTGGTGTCCCCTGCCACGGCGTAAAACCATACTCACTCACTCATCTACCAGGACGCACTATCTGTTTAATTTTTCACGGCCAATTTCAAATTCATAGTCATATGAACAACTTGCTGAGAAGGAGTTTGAGTTGGTCTCCTGTAAGATGTTTTTTCTCCTGACCCTTACCATTGCTGCTAAAGGGAATGAGATCCATGCTCATGTAGTAGGGTACTATTGCTATTTACATCATTATTCATACATCATCATCATAATCATCTTTATGTTGAATGTCAGTAAATAACTCTTTAAACTACTCAACACCCTTATTTTCAGTCTCTGGGAATCTCTCACCAGATCTTCCCCTTCAACCTTCTGTCTATCTTTAGACATTTTTTCACACCTGTTGGGTTTCCCTCAGTCTATTTATATCTTGCATCAAGCACTTCCTTTGATGCTTAATGCAATCTGTCTTCTAATTGGCCACCCTGGTCCTCTACAGGTAGCTTTCTCTTCACTTCGTGCTGCTGTTGAGGAGGAAGGATATTTTCTTTTCTTCAGGTATGGAATGGCCACTTTTCATCTGCTTCTGTCAGAAATTAATATCTATATGTGGGTGCTGAATTAAATTGAATAACATATATATAATTTAAAGTAATATTAAATTAGTAAATGGTATAAATTAGTATAATATTGATATTATAAAACTTGTTTGTAAAATAATTAACCACATGGTCCATTTTGGCTTTTTCAAGTGTTTAATAGTCAACTGATAGTAGTAATTTAACATTAAAGTTAGTTTTATAATGGTTACAAAATGGCTTTTGTACTTATATATTTAAGATAGATACCTGTAAATCGTCAAATATATGACTTCATGTGCTGCTGTTGAGGAGGAAGGATATTTTCTTTTCTTCAGCAGCAGCCACCCCCATTATAATAAACACATTATCATCATCTGCCTGTGTCTGTGTTGCCCAACGGCCCGAGCCGGATCATTTAACACCACCCCGGCTACACTCACAATGTTAACTGAGTCCAGTTTGAGAGAATACACAATGGGAGGGGTTTTGCTGGGACCACATGGTGAAGAATCAGCTTCCCGGACAGTCACAACCTCATGAAGAAATGCATTTATGTCTGGTTAGATCTCTTCACATCTACATAGAGATTGCAACCCACTTGGCGCCCACAAGAGACTCTTCATCCAATTTCCACGGAGGCCACAGTTATTGTTCAACAAGTGTTTGTTTTTTAATCAGCTGTAAACATGGTTCAAGGACGTTTCCAACATAGGATCAAAGAAGAAAAAGAAATGCATAGTGTGAGATAGGATAAGTATATAAATTTATAATTAATAATAAAATAACATTATTACATTGTTACAGGGCAGTGTCTGAAGGATACAGAAATCCCAAATGGTTTTTCCTGCAAGTGTCAAGGAAAATTCCGGGGTAAAAAGTGTGAATATGGCCAGCACTGCATTCCCAGTCCCTGTCTGCATGGTGGAACATGCATTGAGGGGCCTCACTCACACATCTGCCAGTGTCAGGCAGGATATGAAGGTACCTACTCTAAATGTTATTGCCATTCATTGCAAACATTGAGAAACCATACTGATAATTAACAAATGTTATATTTGAGATTATAACAGAGATTAATTCTTGTACTGTTTGTGCACAGTCCATCTGAGATGCAGAAGACATAAGTGACAATATCTTGATGAATTTGTGTCTCATAGACATCAATGTATTGTTTTGTTGCAAAATTATTCTTTGTTTGTATTTATTTATTATTTCCCATAATAGCCAGTGATGCACAGGAACTTTTCTTGCTCGGTCTTTGAAAGGCATTTAGAAGTGATACAAATAAGGCTAAAAACAATTATGAAAATTTGTTCTCACGAAGTGGAAGGGGGATATAGGAATGGGTGCCGTCCGTCCGTCACATTTCGTTTCCGGAGCAAATCTTGAAAACCGTACCATATTTCTTGACCAAACTTGGCACATAGATAGATCTAGTGGTGAACTGGTGAACTGGTGCCTTTTGATAGTTTGGGATTTAAAAAAACAATTTTTTTGAGTTTCCATGGCAACGACTTTGATTTAGACTGGAAATAGCGGTAGTCCTGGTTTCCGGAGCAGATCTTGAAAACCGTACCATATTCTTCACCAAACTTGGCACATAGATAGATCTAGTGGTGAACTGGTGCCTTTTGATAGTTTGAGATTTTAAAAAAAGTTATTTTTCGAGTTTCCATGGCAACGACTTTGATTAAGACTTAAAATGGCGGTAGTCCTTGTTTCCGGAGCAGATCTTGAAAAACGTACTATATTTCTTTAAAAAAAGGCCCAGCGAACATAGTTCACAGGAGCTAATGCATTGCACACACCCGACATGTCATATTGGCGGGGGATGTGAGTATTTCATGCTTGTTCCTTATAAGATAATAGTTTCAGATACAATTCTTCTGCTTATTGTATGGAAATTCTTTAAAGTTATATTATTGGGTAATTTTTAGTTAGATTCCGAGAAACGTGTACTGCTGATTGCTACTTCCGGTTTACAAGACAACACACACGGTAATCTTAATCTCTGCATATAAAACAATGCCAATCAGAACAGAGAATACAATTTAATAGGTAAATCATCATGTCTAGTGATATTTTATCTCAAATTTGTATTGGCCAAGTTTAATTGTTATAATCTGTTCGTTTTCCTGAATTCGCTGAAGCGACACAATGTTATTTTTTTTCTACAGGAGACAAATTTGTTTTTATTGCAGGGACTTTTTATGCACTGGTGATGTGCTTCATTCCGATTCGCTTTATCATGTTTATAGACGGGGTATATAAATTAGCATTTCATGCTTATTTTACGAGACAATACACATGTAATTGTAAATCTTAACCTCTGCGTATGTAACATTGTCCCGCATACAGTACACAAATACCACTGAATTTGGAAATCATCATGTCTGGTGATATTTAATCGCAAATTTAATGTTTTCATTGACCAAATTTGCAAACAGCAAAAAAACGTCACTCCTATTGCCGCCATGACCATAACCATGATAACACACAAGATGTGCAGTAAAGCAGTGTGCATGAAAAGGGAAGTAACTGCACATTATATTTAGTACCAATGTTTTTATCCCACGCCCAACAAAGTTGGGCCGTCCATCCGTCACGTTTCGTTTCCGGAGCATAACTCAGAAACCGTTCAATATGTTTTCATGAAACTTTGCAGGTCTGTCAGGTACATGATGAACTGGTGCCTTCTGCTATTTAGAAATTTTAGAAATTTTTATTTTTTACATTTCCATGGTATCAAGATGGACTTAGGTCCTGTGAGGGTAGGGTTCGTTTCTGGAGCATAACACATAAACCGTTCAATATTTTTTTTGGGTAATGACCATAATCACATATCACAGACTAATACCATTTATATTTCTTAAGAAATATTCCATGTAGATATGTCAAAATATGACTTGAAATGTTTTTTTCTTTCTCCCACCCTAATGAATTCACTAGTAAATGTAGTAACTGGTTTTGTCAGTTTGTACTTTCATCATGTTTTTGTGGAGAAGGTTTCATTTGTTTCTTGAACTTCATAGAAATTGTGTTTTGCAGCATTTTATTTTGTTTCTTGAGGATATTTTGCATTTACATCAAGTAGATGCTCTCCTTCTGCCTTTTACTCCTTACAAAATTTTGAATATTTTCAAATGTATGTATTTGTGTGATCAAATTTCACTGTTGTTGACATAATATACACTTCATTTGCTGGGCAGGAGACTTGGCCACGTTAGTGGCAAACTCTTCTTTTTTTTACAATTTCCATGACAAGTTCCACCTCGGTTGAAAAAGGTTAGGGTTTGTTTAGATTTAATTATGTCATAAATTCTGCAACAGGGGCGGGGGATATAGCCACTCTTGTTTGTGATTGATTTTAGACACCAATTACCGGTATCCAAGATATTCCTAATTGCCTCAGTGTGGAGTTGACATCTCTCTGCATCTCTACTGGAATGAACATAACTAAACGTTAGAGACATCTTGGGTAGTCATACTCAGTGAATTTGTTGATTGCATGACATCGTGCCTCGATGAACGTTAATTGCAGGAAATGGATTCAACTTCAATATTCTTTCTATGAGACATTTCAGTATAGATGCAAATGACTGGGTTGCTGGCATATGTCATTGTATCACAATTGCTTGGATCAATACTCAGGATGTATCTGTATTGTCTGGTTCAGATCTGATATTTAGACAACTGGCACATCATGGAATATTGCTGAGTTTACAATGCATAAACATGCTCTTGCTCTGACAATGAACAGCATTATTATTATACCGTATATTACCGTAGATAAGCTGCATTACTAGGACCAGTAATGATTCTGTAGAAAGGAGTTGGCCTTTGTAAAGCTTACACTTTCATTTAACTGTAATTTCCCTCCAATGTTTATGTAGTTTGTAGCTATCTATTTGTGTATGCTACAATTTCAAATGAGAAAATATGTATACATAAACAATTAGACTACTTCCCGGGAAATAGCCAATACATTGTGAAAACAGGTATATTTTTGTTTTGCAATGTTACCCATGTTTCTTCTGACTTAAAAGCACACTTTCTTTGTCTCTTGACACTGATACATCGTCTGCACTAACTATAACCTATGATAATATTGACAATGCTCATTAACTGTCAGGTGTTTCTGAAATAGGATGCATTGCTACTATAGGTGTGTGTTTTTGTAAACCTCTTTTCACTTTCAAAACTCCGCTTTGGAATATTTCTAGTGGAATATGTTATGAATTTACTGACATCAGCCACTAAAAAGAAGTTGTAGTTATCTCCTTTGATTTAATTCATTTACATATATGGAACTTAAAAGTCTGCGATATAGAATACTAAAATATACAAGCAAGATAATAGTGTCTGATGAATGTTGCATGTATTTACTTCAGGTGTCCAGTGTGAGGTGACAGCAGATATGTGCTATAACAATCCGTGTCAACACGGCAGTACATGCCATGTGTATGCAGGAGGAACATACTACTGTAACTGCACCATGGACAGGAAGGGGAGACACTGTGAGGAGCTCATATTGCCAGTCATCACTGGGGGCATCAAGGCTGAAGAAATATATGGCATTGCAGGTAGGAAACATCTTACTTCACCTCCTTCATGTTGGTATTCTTAGAACAGGAATAATTGTTACTTGCCCACTATTTTGTGTATAGTCTATTTGCAAAGAGACAGGTGACTGATGATCCGCATTGCCCTTCCAGTTCTTCTGTTTGCCCAAGATGAACGCAGAAACAGTTGATGCTAGTTATTTTACAAAAAAAAGTTTGGGCTCATACTTTAACTAGTTGTAGTGTTAAGATCACTTTGGGGAACAGGACCCTGGTCAGAAATCCCCAAAGCATATTAAGTTTAATCTCCGAAATGGCTTGATACATGCAGCTGAAATTTTGTATGATCTTACAATAAGGATGATCAGGTTTGTTCAAGGCATCAAAATTGGAATTTCTATGTGGCCACCAGGTAGCCATTAATTATTTTTATCCCCACCATGATGTCGGTCCTTTTGTCCACTTCTCAAAGGGTACTAATTTTCTCAAAAATTATTTGAGTCTGAGAAATTTTACACACTGATGTTTCTGGTCATAATCTCAAATGAGTGAAAAAATTAGCGTCATACATTCATTTTTTACAGAGTTATGGCTCTTGCGCTATGCTTTTCAACTTAGTGCATGCTGTGTGGAATTGACAAGTTTTCTCAGCAACTACTGAAATTACATGAACGAAAGTTTGCATGCTTATCTAAGAGAAACTTGGTTCGAAAATTGGTGCCATCAAGTATTGTTTTACAGAGTTATGGCCCTTGCTCCTTGCTTTTCTACTCAAAGCATCCTGCTGGAATGGGGACAAGTTTTCTCAGATACTACTGACGTTACATAAAAAATAGTTTGCAAGTTTATCTAAGAGATACTTGTCAAGACTGAATTCATAAATTTTCACATTTAATCTTTTTTACTGATGACATAAGGCGGCCCAGGTGCCTATCTTACGGCTTTCTAGGACTCTTTTTAATAGTTTATATTCACTACTATATGAACAAACAAAATTCTAATGTTCCTCATGGCGGGTGATGGTGATAATGCTGTTTTCTTGTTAAATTTGTTACATGTGTTGTTAGTAGTGGGAATCATCACATGCATTCCCTTTCTTTTAAGCAACATTTATGTTTACCTTGATTCATCCACCATACTGAAAGCTGAAGCTTCTTATGGCCATTACTCTTGACATTTGTTAGCAAAATGTAATGAATCTTAGTATGTATTCAACAGAACCATGTCCAAATATCATTTTATGGCTGAACTAATCCCTGTGTTTGTAAGACATGTTTGTTCCATACCCATGTTTTCAATGAGAAATAATCAAGCATGTGATTGGCACAAATTGAGGATCAAGGTTGTACAAACTGAAATTGTATTTAACTTCCATATTATGGTAGCTTTATACATATGACTTTCTGTTTTTAAGATGTCTTCCAAACCAGAAGTGAAGTGATTAAATTGGAAATGCATATAATTTTCCTATTAACATTGTCAGAGACCGATAACTAATTTCTACCAATTCAAAATCTCAATTACATCGTTATGTGTGTATTATGTATTACAGATGTCTTCACACACTTAAAATCTATGAAAACAAATGTCCTCTTCCCTGTCCACCTTCCATATCTAGTTGAGAGATCAGTAATATCCTCCCAAGCCTCTTTCTCCTCACTTCTCTTCTCTGAGTGTTAGTATCACATTTTCACAGTTGCCATAGCACATTATTATCCCCCGCCACAAAGGGGAAGGGGGATATTGGAATGGGTGCTGTCCGTCCGTCCGTCCATCACATTTCGTTTCCGGAGCATATCTTGAAAACCATACCCTATTTCTTCACCCAACTTGGCACATAGATAGGTCTAGTGGTATACTGGTACCTTTTGATAGTTTGGGATTTTTAAATAAAATTATTTTTTGAGTTTCCATGGCAACAACTTTGATTTAGACCAAAAATGGTGGTAGTCCTTGTTTCCGGAGCAGATCTTGAAAACCGTACCATATTTCTTCACCAAACTTGGCACATAATGTCATCTCTCAGTATTGAATACATTTCCTTTCTTGTTGGTAAGTTCTGCATTGCTTGAGTGTATGTTCCTCCAAAAGTGTCATGGACACGGTTGTTGCATTTATTGACTAACTTTATGAAGAAACACAACTCATTGCAAATACAACAATGTAACTGATCTTAAACCTACTCAACTATATAAACACTGCCTCCTATCCTGTATATATTCTTGTTAACCATACTCTGTACTTCACTTGGGGCGGTCGGGTAGCTTAGTGGTTAAAGCGTTCGCTCGTAACGCCGAAGACCCTGGTTCGATTCCCGACATGGGTACAATGTGTGAAGCCCATTTCTGGTGTCCCCCACCGTGATATTGCTGGAACATTGCTAAAAGCGGCGTAAAACCAAAATCACTCACTCACTCACTCACTCACTCACTCACTGTACTTCACTTGCTTGATAACGGTGTTAGAACCTACACTGAAACCATTGCTCCTAATTGTAATTAAGAAGTTGTTCGTCCATATGTCTCATCCTTATTCATTCCAAATACAGTTACATATTCTATCATAAACTGCAGATGGCAAAACAACACCAGTAATAACTTTTTTTAGTGCTACAATTAGGCCATTTACAAAAAGGCCCAGTGAACATAGGAGGAGCTAATGCATTGCAGACAACCGGACATGTCATATTGGCGGGGGATATGAGTATTTCATGCTTGTTTGGTTCTGGGAGTTGTCACACTGTATTGAAATTGTATCTTCAATTTACGTATTGCAGTAAGACTAGATAGTATTTATCTGACGATACAGCTGCAGTCTCTCACTCATCCTGTGCCGATATAAGACTCCAGGTGCTCCAAATGTATATGACTCCCACAGGGTGTTTTCACCAAGGTTTATGTTGAAGAAGGCAAAAAGGTAGGAAGTGGCCAAAAAGACAGTGAAACTCTGCCCTGAGCTGTAGAAGGACAACCCTAGGCCTTCCCTGTAGTCTCATACTCCAACACTGTCCAAGAGTATGTTAGAAGACCTACTGAAGAGACAGCAAGAGGTTGGTAGCCAGATCAGCAGAGATGGCTGTCATCAGAAAGGAGCAGCAATCACCCCTTCATGCTGAGAAAGCTCCCCCGGCCAAGAGACCACAAGAAAGGGAGCAAATGACTTCCTGACAGATCAGGGTCATCAGACCACACGGGTGCACAGCGTTGAGCTCAGACCTACCCACTTGGATTTGAACCAGATCAGATGGATGATAAAAATTTAAGTGATTCGCCCTGCTAGACTTATCTGATTCACTCCCATCGTGGGACTACAAACAGGGAAAATCCTTTTAGGACTTGGTGGAGGAAAATTATCATCTCTTGAAGGGTATCAAGCTGAATGAATTTATGCCCCACATGTTGGAATATGTAGGTTACCGTGGCCCATCCATCCCAACACTAGAGCTCTTCACTCAACCATGTCCCAAGTTACAGGTTACAAGTCATCAACCAGGTTAATGATGGCACGCAAAAATTGAGAAATGACGAGAAGCTACCAGTTCTCCAATTGCAACACCTAATGACCGAGTTAATGGTCCCCTCTTCCAGATCCTCCTGGTGTGGATGAAGACTGCTTCAAGTAGTCAAGTCTTCTTGTATGTTTCTGCTGATGTGTAGGCTCAATGATTTAAAATCAATCAACCAATATGCTCTGGATATTGAGGCATACATTAACTAGTTTGTGGCAGGAGTGTGTATTGTCACCCCACCACTAGAAGAATCTTCTGAAGGGTTTCTGGTAGAGGCTCTGGTTATACCATCTATAAAGACAAGATTGGAGTGATAAAGTCTTCTAAATATCATTGTTAAAATGCAGGAAGAGTTACTTGCCATCCATACATGGATGTCCTGCCAATTCACTAATAAGTTAGGAACAAATCAGGAGTTTTGTTATGACCCAGTTTACAATTGGATTCTTCGGCTTGTTTTGCAAGATAAGAGGATAAAAGCCCATGCTGCGATTCTTTCTTTTTTTTAATGTGCCTATAATATCATAGAGAGCAAATTGTTTATTTGACCAATGAGAGCCATTCTTCCAATACTGTTATGATATCCATGACTCAGTTCAAGATATCTGATTGGTTGTTAATACAAGATATGCGCATGATCATAGATCTCACACTGTGAGGTGAAATGAAATGAAATGGGGGTTTAATGTCATGACCAAGATTATCATTACATTTATATAAAGACCTGCATATGTTTGGCTGCTTGTGCAAGTCCGGACTAATGCCGATTTGTGCTAGCCCACTGAGAAACCATGCTGCAGTTTAACATGAATACCCCACTCAGACACAGTATACTGACTCCCAGCCGACCAGTCCTTGTTTTAGCCCCTTGATACTTCACAACAGGCAGGGTAACAAGTAACGTCATTTGCTTTGTCACTGCCGGGGATCAAACCCCGCACTTTCCGCTCTCCAGGCAGACGCTCTACCACAAGACAAAGGAGACTGTCAGATCTCACAAGGCATATGTTATATCCACACAAATTCCAGTACGAAACTTTGCACCTGAATGCCAAGATATCCTCCTTTATCCAGGATCAGGCAGAAAAATTGAGACATTGGACACGAATATAACAGTAGATCTGTGGAAGTATTTGCTTATAATCTTGACATTATTCTGATATAGGACCTTTTGAAGGGATTTCTTTCAATGTACACCTTATATTGGTCAAAACGAGGGAAACAGAACCATAATTGGATGGAAACCACTGACTTATGGGTTCAATCTTCTCTTTTAATTCAGTAGACTAGTACAGGGTATTACTAGTTGTCCGAACAAACCGATCTCTTGGGTATAATCAGGCAGTGGTGTAACAGAGGTTTTGTATTTGTCAGAATTATCAAACAATAGTTTTTATTGTTAGTAATTCCAAGGATACTACTTCTTCTGCAATCTAGGATAGCTGATGTTGGAATGAAAAGAGGTTTCCTACCTTGCACATGTGCAGGTTTTTTGGAAGGCAGGATACTATTACTTGCACAACTAATTATGGATAGTTGACAGTAATTTTTTTCTTGTGATGACAGCCAAATTACAGGATTTCTGGCAAAGATGTAATATTCTTTGAATTATTGACAATGATAACTATTATATGCTGTCAACCGATCTCGAGGGGTATATGGTGTTAGGCTCACACACAGGGTACTTATATACAGCTGACTAATGACGTAAGTGAATAGAGGTACTTCCCTTTACCCAATGCATTCAGATAAACATCTGTTCATTTCAGATCAAAGATACATATGTGAGATAAGCAAGTTACCTGAGGTGTGTTCCATTTGATTTCACACCGGGCTTCATGAAAAATAATTGTCTGCTCCTAAACCAATCAAAAGCTGGTATTTTAATGTAATTTGAGGTAATGTTTGTCACTGCATATGACATGTATTTTCCCCAACCGTCATCATTCAACCACAATTTTCTCATGATGGTAAATGGAGACTTAAGAAATATCTGGTATGAGGTCATAGGCATGCATTTTACCAAACTGAAGATAATGATATCATTCTGTAAATGCATGCTAATATGTAACAATATTTGTGGCTGCTTCTCTATTTACAAGTACTTGCAAACACTTTTCTAGTTAAAAGAGACTATTTGTGGCCATTACTTTGCCAAGTTTGAAATCTCTTCATAATTCTATTTATTGTTTCATATCTTTTTAATAGTCCTGGAAATGTATGCTAAAATATTTTGAGTGTTGATTTTGAAAGCTATTTATATTAATGGATGTCTTTGTTGATATTTTAAACTGTTGACTATATGTCAGGTGAGCTAGAGTGTTGTAGCACTATATTTTAGTGGTTGAGTGTGTAACCAGATGAGCTTCAGCGTATGAACTTCATATCCAACCTGTTGCCTAATTGACATTTACCAATTGTCCAAGCTACGAGCTCATTGAGCACTAAGCAATAAGCACAACTATTGTCCATTGCTATTTTTGCCTGCTTATGATTGCAAGTATTGTTTAGAATACTCTGTTGTTTCATTATCAGGTGTTGGAGCTGGACTTATCTTCATCGTGCTCATCTTTGTCATGTGTCGCATGTGGAGGAGAAAGAAGCGAGAACGTAGAAGGAACAACATCACGCCTGGCATTGCAAGCGGAGATGATGAGATTCAGTATCATGGCATGAAAGAACATGAGATGAAACGCAAGTTAAGCAACCCAGATATGGCTGCTGTTCACACTTACACACCACAGCCTCCCCCTGTGCCCACAAGACCTGCCTCCTACACTCCTAGTACACATGACTCACTCAACACACTTAACAACTTTGACACTGTCAGAAACTATGGCAGTGCTGCAGATGAGTTGGAAACAACAGGTATCCATAACATCCCAACATTCCAAGAATACCTGCAGACGTTCCAGTCTTCACACCGAAGCAGTCCAGTAATTCCATCAACTCTTCCTCCGCCACCAAGATCTAATGCACCCTCTGATTCAGATTCCATTCAGAAACAGCCATGGGAGTTTGAGTACCCTAATATTTTGGAGAATTACTCAGAAGGTAAGAAAATTTTTTTATTTCATAGTAATTAAATCCAATCCACATTTTTTACATCTCCTGAAACTACAATGTATATGAAGCTGAAACTTTGCATTAATGATCCTAGCTTTGGTGTCTCTGGAAAACTGTCACAGAATTTTAAGTGAATTTTAAACATGAACATTAGGGCAGCCATATTGAAAATATTGTGTATACAGGATGACATATGTTTTGTGGCACATTTTTATTGAAATGGGTTTCCGTGCGTGCGTCCCGAAATCGTTTCCGGAGCATAACTCAGAAACCATTAAATATTTCTCTACGAAACTTTGCATGTCTGTCAGAATCATGCTGAACTGGTGCCTTTTGCTATTTAGGAATTTAATAAATTTTTATTTTTTATGTTTCCATGGCAACAAGTTGGACTTAGGTTCAATAGGGTAGAGTTCGTTTCCGGAGCATAACTCAAAACCCATTCAATACTTTCTAACAAAACTTTGCATGTCTACCAGACACATACTGAACTGGTGCCTTTTGATATTTAGCACTTTTAGAATTTTTTATTTGTTACATTTCCATGGCAACAAGGTGGATTTAAGTTTTAATATAGGGTGGGTTCACTAATTGAGTATAACAAATAAACTGTTAGATATGTCCTTGCCAAACATTGCATGTCTATATATAAAGCACATACAGAACTGGTGCCATTTGATATTCAGGAGTTTATTTTAGAATTTCCATTGCAGCTTTTTTGACATGGGCTAAGAGAAATGTTGGGTCAGTTACCTGGTTTGGGACCATAATGTGTTAAAATGGGCGGGGGATATAGATGACTTTGTTGACTATACGCTTGTTCATTTTGATCCAGCTTAGACATTTGACTGCATTTACCCCTCTTTTTTTAACTCACCTGGTCCCGTAGAAATCATATGTCATCCATCCTAAAATTCTTCTCAGAAACCACTGAACCAATAAAGCTGAAACTTCACATGCCTCTTATCAACATGATGACACCTGAAGGTGTTGAAGAGATTTGAATCCCTTTTTTAATTAAGGCCACAACAGCAGCCATTGTAAGCAAGCTATTTATGGCTTCTTTCAAATTCCGACTGCTATTTGAAACGTCCATCAAATTTGTCATTTTATATCACTGTCAAGCATGTGATTCTGTCAATCAGAATGTTTTGTTTATACTTCAAATGCAATGATAATTGACAGGCACCTGCCAAAGCTAGACGTGCAATTTCTTTACCTCGTGTGCAATAGTAATTATGACACGCTGTGTAAGGGTCACTTATGCCAGAACCCTACCATGAGTTTGAACCCGATTGCATGGATTATGATACTGGTTTGTCAGCACCATGACCATGCTTGCTTCTTTTTACTAAAGTGGCACTGGCCTAGTACCTCCATATCTTTGGCCTCTTTCTTTCCACAGTGAGCTGACATAGCATAATATACCTGAAATATGTCCAAAGCAGCTTTTAGACCACCTCACATACTCTCTATAAACTCGCTTACTTATTCTGATGGCTCACTCACACAAGGTCTACATCGACTCTCAGATGCCAATTCTGGTGGTGAATGTGTCCAACACGTTAATCATAATAGAAAGGAGATATATACTGTGATCACTGAGGATGGATGAGAGCATTACCCAGCAGTTGTAGAAGGATGTCAAGTAAAATATTGAACTCAACTTATGTTCATGGAGTTGAAATCAATTTTTAGAATACATTTTTGTGTTATCTGTTCAGATCTTTGCCCACATTTGTCCCCATAATAAGGTCTACATAACTAATCTACAGAAAAACAAACCTGTTGCCTTCAAAGTAGATAATATGTTGAAGAATGTGTCATCATTGTACTTGCAGTTGACAAAAAACAAGTGACAAAGTCAATGCCTGGCATGATGGTGCCTGTTGCACAGTGTGGACTCCAGCGCCAGGATGCTAGTTCCTACAGTAGTTTGCCTGTGTCAGAGAGTGAAGAGGACCTGAATGGTGAGCCAAACAACCTGTCTTTGAATAAAAATGTATACCATTGTAATAAAAGTGATACAAATCAAATTTTGTATCATAAATCTTTTAGGACCATGCAGGTTGTTAAATGTCTGTTGATAAACAGCCAGGTAGGGATGGGGCAGCTTAATTATGAATGTGCATTTGAATTTGAATTGATGTTTATTGAGAAGTTTATTTTAATCAGTATAATTCTCACAAATACATAAACCTATTATATCAGTGCCATAAATCCTGCATTTTGGCTGTGATTATGGTATAAAAGTCTTTAAGATTTTCAAAAAAGGCCTCTTTACTGTCCACTATTATTCGTTGTGCAAGTAATAGTATCTTGCTACCAAGGCTTCTTGCTCATGCTTTATGTGTAATGATATCTTTTTGTGGTTACATGCTAGTTTTATATATAAGCCAGTGTTAGTCTAGTTATGTTGTGACCCTTTGGTGACAGATTCTTATGTAGTCTCATTCAGGGATCCAGAAACTAGTCTGTGCACCCATATTATCCAGTTGTGACTGTAAATTGTCAGATTTGAAAAAGTGCAAACCAAACATTTTTAAATTTGCCCCGGATATTTTTGAGAAAGTACTTGCCGGACATTACAACCTGAGACTAGTTATCATAACAAAGGACATACGATGAGGAGAGCTGCAGCCAGACTGACATGTGTTTTTGTTGTTAGTGTATACATGACTTGCAGTGGTTACCGAGAGCTATCAGTCAACATCATTTTGTGAGATGTAGAAACTATATGATATGCCTTCAGGGAATTCAGGTGATGATAAACTTAAATTGGTCAATAAAAATGTGAAATTTTAGGTAAAATATCAGTAGACATGATGATTTAGCATGTAAATTGTACTTCCTGTTCTGCTAGGCATTGTTTTATATGTAGAAATAAAGATTACAGTGTGTATTTTCCTGTGAAGGAAGCCGGAAATGACAATCACATATACACACATATTCTACCAATCTACCAGGGATTTGGCTAAAAACATGACATCGGAGAGCTTTGATGATCGTAAGATTTGTTTTGAAACTCTTGTTTTATCAGAAATAATATATTCCTTGCAGTTTTTACCATATATTTTTAAAGTAATAATAGCTATAAGAGTCACACTTTGGAACAGCTGATTGCTATTGCTGTATATTTTTTATGTTTGAACAATTTGACCCGTCATAGTTGAGATGTCCCTGTGGACTGGTGAAAATGTTATGTTGACATAATGTTAGTCAAACTACAACAAATATGACTTTGAATGAGTCAAAGTGTGGCATATATGAAATATGTATCCCTTCTCTGTCAACTAAAGTTCGTTTCAAGGTATCAATATCGGTAATCTGACCGTGGTTGCTGTAAATAACAGGGAAGTCACTTCACACACAATTTCGCCGAAGTTTATGTGAACAATATTGAATGAAATGTTGAATAAATTTAATAAAATAGATTACAAACATAAGTCCATGTCTACAATGAAGACTTTTAATAAGAAGATAGTATAATAACAGTATAATGTGAGTAATTCGGTACGAATGTGTTGGCATGGTATTTCCGGTGTTGAGTCTTTTAGTTTGTATTGAGGAAAAGACATGAAAACTTATTGTGGTGTGTTTCATAGACAATAAAGTGTGCATTATACTCAAGAAAATATGGTACATGTTATGAAAGTGACTCTTGATTTTGTTCTTTTATTATTTTATTGATACATGAATGTCCAACAGTAATTGTCAAATAAGAGGTAGCGTGAGCAAAATACATACATCTGATTGGCAAAAGAATATTCCGGATCCCAGGTCTAAATGTATTTACCATATTTTCTTGAGTATAGTGCGCACCCCCCTGTAGCAGATTCAATATTTTCGAAAAGAAAAATTTGAATACCAAGCGCAGAAATTTTTTTACACCGTACCCCTTTGCGCAGTCCGGCAAACGAACGGGTGATGAGAAACTTGGTCAGTACAAATTCAAAATCTGAGATAAAAAATCACAAGACATGTTGATTTACTGTTTAAATTGTATTTTTTGTTCTGCTAGGCATTGTTTTATATCCAGGGATTAAGATTACCTTGTGTATTTTCTCGTAAACTAAGCCGGACACAGCAATCAGCTGTACACACGTTTTCTTGGAATCTACCAGTGATTCGGTCAAGACACACCCAATGATATAACTTTACAGGATTTTAATGCAAGGATCGGCAAAAATTGTATCTGAAACTATTTTTTTATCAGGAATAATATATTCCAATATCTTGTTAATTTAGATGCAGCTTTTACGAAACATATTTAAAATAATAATAACCCTAAGTGAAGCAGCTGATCGCTATTGCCGGGTATTATTTTTTACATTGAACCAGTCTGACCAGTCACCGTCAAGGCTCCCGTGCATGTGATCGCGAGAAATTACGTGTTGACATAGAATCGTCCAACAAAAACAAATATAACTTTTAACGAGTCACATATATGTATCCATTCTCTGTCAACTAAAGTTTGTTTCAAGGCCTCAAAAGCGGTAATCTGACTGTGGTTGCTGTTAATAACGGTGAGTTGTGCGATCTTCCGATCGCTTCACACACGATTTCGCCGAAATTAATTAAAACAATATTAAAAGGAATTTTGAATAAAATTAATAAAATAAGTTACAAACATAAGTCCAGATATACAAAGAACACTTTTTATAGCCAGACAGTGTAATTACATGACTAATTTGCGTACTTCAGTATGGATTTGTTGACATGGTATTTCCGGTGTTACGTGCTCACGGTAATGTCTTTCCATGGGGGAAAAAACATCAAAATTCATTAATTCGTGTATAATGCACACCCCCTTCTACACAGCTGTGTTTTTTGGAAAAAAAGTGCGCACTATACTCAAGAAAATACGGTATTATTAATGTAGAACTTGTTGTGGTCTCAATATGGCTGAAGTACTGCTAATATGACTAAAAATCTTAACTCAATCATTCATTCTTGTAGATGTGCAAGATGAGAAACCTCACTTCTTTCCTGTGTGTGCTTGTGTCAACATAAAAGTTGTTGTCATAGCACATTATTTGGTAGTTCTCACCGTATTTATTTGTATCTTCAGTAAACATATTCTAGTGAGACAATATAGTTATTATCCTGCCTTGAACCTTAAACACGTAGTTGCTAAGTGATAACATGTTATTGGTCAAGATGGCATCACTCTCGTCCGTTAGCTAGAAGTGTGATAACTTTAAGATCGTGCAAACCCTCACTCATCCTGCAGGCAATGCTGATAGGAGAAGCGTACAGACTACGCCTGGTGCAATCCCTCACAAGAGATTTTATCCATGGTGGTAGATTTAAAGAACACTAAGAGGCCATGAGTGGGGAACCAATTATCATCACTGGATGACATGGAGCAATGAGACCATTCACTTGGCACAGGTACTGTATGGTGACCTTGGTATGCAAACAGCTGTCAGTCCCACTGAAGTATGATTTCAAGGTGTCGACACAGAACCTGTCTCACAACCATCACGGGCACTGCGCACAGTATCAGTGCAAATTCATTTGTGTTTGTGAGTGACGGTCGGCAGCAGCACAGAATGGCTTAATGAGCACCAGTTCAGATCGCTGTTGAAAGGTGACTGTCTTATCCATGCCAAACATTTTGATCATTGCTGGTGTGGGTACTGTTGGATCTGCACGGAAGTGCCCACTCACAGCTGGTTTGGATTTCACCTCTTGCTTGGGTTCTTTGGTCAGTGACCGAAGGATCTGCACAGGGACAGCTAAATAATATTTCGCTGCTGGTTAGGATTGCGGAAGGTCAGATACCAAGGGACCCTTGGAAGTATTCCTTCCTAGCCATCAACACAATTATGATGGATGGCATAATCATGAGTCACGGAAGTTGTTGACAATGTAGGAAGCAGCGTGAGCACCATGGGCACAGGACATTACAATTTGACCAGAGGGAATGGCCTTTGCATGGAACTTGAGACCAGAGCATGGAACCAGTTGCCTCCAACCCTTCAGCTAATATGTCAACCAGGCCTTCTAGGAAGCGGCCAGTGAGTGCCACAATCACCAGTGGGAAATTATATGATGAATCCATTCCATATTTGATGGATCCAGACTTCATTCAAATGATGGTTCAGGTTTATATGTTACAGTCTGTTAATGTTCAAGATTGGGGACCGTCGGTTTAGTTACATTAAGTTACAGTTCGGGAGAAGGTCCTTCTGACCTAGGATCGGACTCAAGAGTGGAGTGATGTTTGCCATTCTATTGATTCCCAGAGGTGGATTTACAACCCTCTATAGATTATGAAGCAGGACACTTTGGGCTTAAATAAAATAATTTTTTCCCCAAATTAATGCCAGGAGATGAGGAACCAGTAACCCACATGTTTGGAGTTCGTAGAGTATTGGGGTCTTTTCACCACCACTGTATGCTTCCTTGGCATAGTTATGGCAATTTAATCATGAACAAAGCTAATGACTGGCTCAAGAGACTTTGGAGTGAGGAAAAGCTCCCACTCCCTCGGCTAAGTAGGCTAACCTACAGCATGCATGAGTGCCCCCAACTTTGAATATATAAGTCGATCAGATCACCAAACATGACCATGCCCGTTCCATTAACAGGACTGCAGGAATTTGATTTTTTTAAACTGCCAAGCCATGGATGTTGGACCCTACATAAATTGGTTTATAGCATGTGTACACCTCGTCTTTCCACAAATGGAGCATCCCCATCTGTACTGACCAGGATGCTTTAGTTTCGGGCTGAAGAGCTCGCATGCACAGTTCCATGTTTCAAGGACCATGGAGATCAGGTGAGAACAATTTGCACATAAATTGTCTCAAGATGAGAGCAATTTTTATGCATTCGAGTGTAAGGACCATTTATTCTGATCATGACAAACACTACAGTAGTGGCCTACATACAGGGACAAGGAAACAAGTCAACTGGATTTTAATGGATGAGACTACACATCAATTTGATTTGGTAGACTGGATACCATGCACAATGAGGCCCTGTCACATACCTGGAAGCTCAACAAATTGACATACAAGCCCCCCACCCCCACCCATCCCCTACTGTAACAGTGCCCATATTGGCTGTTTTCGTCTCCATCTTCACCTCATTGCCAAACTCAGACAAAGGACCATTTAGGGGATACCGTTCTACAGCATGACGGGTTAAAGATTGGAGATCGTCCCGTCCTCAACCATCTGTGAGATTGTTTCTGCTTGAGGACGTCAGTTCTCCACGCTCTAACCCCAAATGGAACCTCACTCTGGTTTTTTCATCACTCTTGGAACCTCTATTGGAACCACTTTGTTTCTGCCTTCGTCACTTTAAACGACCAGGAAAGCAGCTTTCCTTCTTGCCATGGCTGACGTATCTAAGCTGTAAGCTCTCAATTACTTTGGTAATACTGCTGAGGAATGGAGCACTTTCACTATCTTGCAGAACATCTATAGCCTTGAGCCAGTGGTGGCAGCTCAAGTCTAGTAGCTTCCCCACCTTGACTGGAAAAGGTCTGCAGCTACAAACCTTGAAAGGTAGTTACCATTTTGATCCTATGGTCTACCAAGGGATTAGGCAATTCAAAAGTTAACGGCAGTCCTGAACTTCTCAACTCAGGAAGATTTCAAGGACACCCAGTTTCATGGGTCAGAAATTTTACCTTTAAATGGAGTCGACTGTGAACTATCGAGGGTAGCACTAAATTTCAGAACCCACTGTTTCCCTTGGGTATATCCTGGCACTGATGTAATAGAGGTTCACCTATTCCTAAGAATTATCAAACATTAGGTATCATTGCTACTAATTTAAAGAAGACTGCATCTATTACATCAGTGCCATAAATCTTGTATTTTGGCTGTCAACACACAATAAAAAGCAAAATAATATCCTAGACTTTAAAAAAAAAATGTTACTCAAACAATACTTTTTGAATTTTGGAAAAATAGTGTGGGCAGGCAGCCCATTTTTTACATACATTTTTTCTCCTTTTTTTTGGGGGGGGGGGGGGGGGTGTTCAAAGAGGTTTGTAACCTAATAAACAGTTGAGAACGATCAACTTTGAAAAGGGCCTCCCTACATAAATGTTTTCTATGATAAGTAAAATACTGATAATTATGATTCTCTTTTACCAATGAGAAGCAGCTAAGGAAGAGAATATATGGATGTCAACTTCTTTATTATGAGGAACACAACAATTCGGGGTATATGCTTACTCTTTTTTCTCTTTTTTTTTTTGGGGGGGGGTTCAAAGAAGTTTGTAACCTAATAAACAGTTGAGAACAATCAACTTTGAAAAGGGCCTCCCTACATAAATGTTTTCTATGATGAGTGAAATACTGATAATTTTGATTCTCTTTTACCAATGAGAAGCAGCTAAGGAAGAGAATATATGGATGTCAACTTCTTTATTATGAGGAACACAACAATTCAGGGTATATGCTTACTCCTTCATCTGGTGAAACGAAATGTTAAGTTCTACATAATAAAGAAGTTGATCCGAAACAATGTGTTTCTCATAATAAAGAAGTTGACATCCATATATTCTCTTCCTTATGTGTATCACTTCTAAATGCCTTTCAAAGACCTTGAAGCAGCTAGTTTTTATCACCATGGTACCTCTTCAGGCAGTAAGACCAAGCCATTTCACTATTGTAAATATTACTTACACAAGTCAACTTCATTGAATCTTCATGTTGCCCAATGCACAGTATCAAAACATCTTCCAAATAGCCAATGCATTTCTGTTTTCATGATCCTCTGCCTGTGTCTATCCGGTGAATTAGTACTTACTTTCTTTACACAATTATTCCGACCTCACTATAAGACAATAATTATGAAACTTGTGAAATATAACTTCAGAAATATGTATTCAAATTGTATGAAAGTTCCCGATGTCCAATAGAGACAGAAGCCAAGACTTGCATCATTCCCAGTTGCATCATCCAGCAAATGAACTGATGATCACAAGCGGGCAGTGTCAGACAGAACAGTAGAAGGCAGAGCCTTGTGCTCCCTTAAGGTAGCTAAAGCCCATGTGGATTCCAGGTTAGAATTGGTCTCCAGCAACCTATGCTGATCAAGGCAACCAAATGGTTTGGGTGGTCAGAGTCGATGATTTAGTGGTCATCCAACCCCAACGGCATGGACCATTGCTCGCAATATCTCACTGAATTATCTGGGGCAGACTCGATTATTTACAGGCTGCCATCATGTACCTGGAATATTGCCAAGTGTGGCATTAAATAACAAATAAAGCATACTAGTAAGATAGCAAGAAGCATAGGACTTTCTGGTTTAGAGTTGTACTGCTTTTGCCATGTTTTTCAAAACTAGAATAATGTCATTAGACTTGCCATTTAATTTCTCGTCATGTTAGCTAGAAGCAAGGTACACTCAAGTCTCGTAGGTACACTCAAGTCTCGTTAATCCGAAGAATGGCTTTATCCAACACAAATGATAAGAACCATTTAAATCAGTGCTATTTAAACTTGTTAATCCAACAGTCTCGCACTCGACTCCAACACACCTAATTTGCAACAAATTACCAAAATCACTCATACATCAGTCTCGTTAATCAGGTCGTGATCACCGTACTATGTAGTCATCTACCCGTGAGTACACAGTCCCGTCTTTTGCTACAAAATGAGTCGACTTGTTGGCTGCATATTACAATGGCTGCAGAGCAAGCTTGCTTTAAAAAATCACATGCTTAGATTACCTTAATCTCATAAAATCAGATACAAGTTCTGGCTACAGCTGAGGACATCCCATTACATGTCACTTCAGAACAACCTTTCACGAACTTTAACCGATCAATGAAATGAAAGCAGCTTTCTTGGTTTCGGTACTCGTTTTAAACTGGAGACTTCCATTCCAGACTTTGTTTTCAAAAGTATTTGGAATCAGTTGATAGTAGTTTTGTGTGAAGTTTTAGAGGTTGCATGATTAGAAAACATATTCCACTAACAATGTAACAACAATTTGAATATTTCATTGTTAATTTTTTTACAACAATGTGTTTGCCTTGTTATTTATCGTGTAGTTGTCCGATTTTCAAACATTGATACAGTTTAATTTCGTTTATCTCTCATAACATACTCATTAATCCGACATAATCAAATGCAACCAACCATGTCGGATTAATGAGACTTGACTGTACCGGTACTTAAATCTGGAGATTATGGTGGCAACTTACTTCACCAAACTGAAGGTGATGCTATCACATTGAAAATGTGTGGCTGTATGTAATGATTTCTGGTTCCTTCCAAGAGATTCTGGTGAAGGGTTGCTTCTGAGTTTGCAAGTATTTGAAAACATTTTTCTCTGGTTCCATTGTATAAGAATTGTCAAGTATTTGTCATACAATTTCAGGTCATACAATTTCAGGTAATAGAGAACTATACCAAGACATCATTGGGCCCATGAATCTACATTGTTTCTCATTTTCTTCTTACCTTTCTCTCCAGCTAAACGTGGGAAAAGAAAAGGTAGACATTGCCGTGCTGCCTTCGTGATCTGTGTTATACTGGTGCATGAATGTATAGTCTTGTCCTTATTTCTCTATCTGCCAGGGAGCAAACCATCAGTGACCCCATTGACAACATCTCTATCATGTCCTGCATTTGTATTGTTGGCAACTAAATCTTCTGCCAAATAGTTGTAATGATACGATACAAAGTAACAACCAGTTGTTTAGTTTACTTTTATGCATGTCCTGAATGCATGTTTTCTGTACATCTTGTATGTATGTGAAGCAATAAGGCTCATTCAGTCTGAATATTAATATGGATCTTTTCCATCTTAAAATAAGATAATAGGTTTTCAAATTCCCACAGTTTTAGGAAGTACTTCCTCCTGTTCGTGTGGTTTGAATGCTAAAAAAATAATTTACGCTTTTTATTGTTATGTTTAACATATATCCCATCATTTCTCTAGTAGTATTTCATTACGCCAAGTGCATCCGTTGTGTTTTCTTATGTTGAGTGCACAATTGCCACTTTTTGTTATTCTCTTCCAAACTGTCTACTCACCTTTGAACATGTCTTAGCTTCGGATAGCTATTGTTTGCACTCATTCAGTTCATGTGTATACAGTATTGTTTCTGTGACAACAATAGGCAAGTAAGTACATCAGAGTTAATACATTACCATATCCTCTTCCAGCAATTAGTGTTCACCTATATGGTCTGCTTTATATGACATTTTAAATTTTGGCCTTGATTTAACTTTTTTCCATGATTTGACCATGCTGTCAATTCTCAAAGAATGTATTCTACCTAAAATGAGTGTGACATTGGCATAAACAACTATTTATCACATTGTCAACATACTCATGTTTTTCATGTTTGACACCCTACATAACTACATGATCCTTTAATAATGATATTGAGTACATACTGAAAAACGTTTATGGCCACTACAGGGTAAACTTTCTCAAAGTTCTTTTGGTTCTCTAAGCATCTTTTTTGAAATTGTAAAAGCTGAACATTATGCTTTCTCCTTATGATCACATCATGTTTGTGGCTGCCTTTGTTGACATTTTAAACTGTTGACTATAGGTGAGCTGCTTTGCCGTGGCACTAATTTTTATGGGGTTATTTTCACATGTGTTTTGTCACCACCTTTTTTTTTAATTCATCATACATGTTAATCACCAATTAAAGTTGAAGCGTCACAACATTATTTCTTCATAAGTCAGGTTAGCGACAGCCTTGTGGTGTTATTTTAACATATTACTTAAACTGTTGCACAGAAATCAATTACTATTTTTAAATGTGATTGCCTTGAAATATTGTCTTGAAATATCGGTGAAAGGTTGTATAAGTTGCTGTGTGGTGTGGATCATTACATAACAATATTGCATCTTTAGCCACTAGTCCAAAATCAGAGTTTTATGGGAATCGCTGATATCTGACCATATACTCTGAAGACTAAACTCTGGTGAAAAAGATACAAGGTTTTCAAGGTGTTGCTACAAAGGAAGTATCCCTAGTAACACAACTAATCGCATGCAATTACTGCATGTGAGTATATTGACTGCAGGCTTACCCAAGGTACCACCACAAGGTTGACATACCTTGGCATTAGATTATGCTTGAACTCACCAACTACATGCATGTAATTGACATTACATTTCTAATAGTACTATTTAGCTGACAGCTGCAGAAATGAGGAATATTTTACAATCTGAGAACTGAAAACAACTTGAATAATTGATAGCAATATTCTAGAGAACAAATTTTCATGTTCATGTGTGCATTAGAGGTTTGACTTTAGTCTTTGTCCTCTGCATTTGGTGCATGGATCTATATTTTTACTGATTTACATTGTATGTTTTCAGGCTATCACTGGGACACATCAGACTGGGCCCCAAGGCCATCTCTCCCCAATATCAGTGAGGTACCATCTAAGGAAGTCCCAGATTCCCCAAGTTCCAGTAACAACAGCAATGACTCCAACATCCATATTAGCAACATTGAACCTGACCCAGGAACAGTGACTGATGAGCCAGAATATGTTGAAGACTCTGAATATGTTGGAGATTCAGAGTATGCAGAAAATGAATTTGAAATAGATGACCAAGATGACCTTCCTCCCTGCTATGCAGACCATCCCAACTATCAACAAATCTTGGAATTGCGTGACATGGACGACACTTACGAACTACCTCAAAGTCTTCAAGTATCTCATCATCCAAATCACTACCTACCAAACTACAGCTTTAGTGGACAGATGGAGCAAGATGGATGGCCTGACCCCCCAACTGATGATGACAATAGTAATGTCAGTGATGATAATGATAACGATAACGACAGCGTCATACACTATGCCTACCAGAATGTTGGTCCTCAAAGAAGTAATTTGGCTCCAGGTTACACTACAAGGAGTGAATATAATACAGATCATAACAGATCAGCAGCATCAATAATGGATGACATGAGTGTCTCGGCTGGTGGTTATACATCAACTAATGGGTCATGTTCTGATATTTCTGCATATTTGTGTGAAATAGAAGACAGTGAAATTAACCAGAGTGAGGATAGTGGTGATGAAGACCAGTCTTCACAAAGACTTCTAGCTGCCCATCTCCACACACAAGTGTGAACAGATCTTTCGAACAAACATTCAACTGTCATTTCCTAGATCTGATGTCTAACATTTCATGGTTGTGATCCGTTTTATTTCCTGCAGATTCAGATATTGTTGTTCTTTGCCAAATGTCTTAGAAACACATCATTAATGTGGACTGATGTTATTTACACTGTTTACTTAGATAAAATTGTGTGCCAATAGAAAATAACATTGAGTCTTTACAGTTTGTGCAAAGAATGCAATGTTTGTTCTTAATGCATTATCTCAGTTTAGAAGTCATGTATCATGTACTTGACAGCGGATGTGTGATATATAACATTGTGTTGGGGTTAAAACATCTGATGGCTGCTGCAAAGAGACTAGTCTAGCTGTGATGGTGCTGAATGTAGCTGATGTGCAGAGACTTTGATATGATTCACTTCATTAAGATTACCTAGATATTCTGTTATATTCTATTCAAATATTTTGAAGTATGGTTATTATGTTGATCAAGTACAGATGTTATGAGGACATTCCAGTATGAGGAGGCTTGAACCTCACATAGGAATGACAAGTCAGGTAACATTATTGTTTGGAATTTGTGGACATCTATTCCATGTTACAAACTGATATTTTTTTTAAACATTTCATGCACGCATTCAGAATTATTCATTATTATAACATCCCCGAATAATGTTGATACAATATTGCACACCTTATTTCACGTCATTTCTTTGGTTGTGAACACGTTGTGAATATATGTTAGTGATAGCAATGTTCTTGTCTGAACTCAGTGATAAGCAAGTAGTGTTGACAAGTACTTGCTAAGATAATATTTTCATATTCTGCTTCTTTAAACTATTTCTGCTAGTAAATAGCATATATTGATGTAACAATAGTGTAGCTTCCCATTGTTTGACATATTTACTTGAGAAACAGTTAACAAATTTGTTGGATTATGAGATATCATGTGTGGCCATGACAATATATATATTTTTCAACATTTTGTGGGTTGTTTTGTATTGATTTTGTAAGAAACATCTCAATTTTATCTCATCTGACCCAGAGGTTCACATGAGCTTGTGTCATTGCATGTTGTCCAGTGTTAACGTCTCCAAACCATAATGCCTGTGATGCTGAACTATCACATGAATGATGCGGTAATATTGTCTTGTAAAGATTGAAAGATGGGAATCACATTGAAAATGTCGTTCAGTATTCCTATGGCCAGAAAACAAAAGTTGTGAAGCGTACCTTTAGGTCTCTGGAACCGTAGGTGACCTATATATAACATCAATGTCAGTGTGAAGGCGATTTGTTTGGCATTTTCACTGAAATGTTTAATTTCCTTCAAATTTCTGTTTGCTATGGATGTAGTGGATGTTTTATTGGAATACTTATGTATGATAGTAATAGGTCACAGTGACCTACATTAAATTCGTAGCATATGTTATATATTTCTTCTTGTGTTGAATTTCAACTGGGACATAATATTTGTTTATATGCTGTATAGCCTATGGGAGTGTTCCCGAAATACTTGTAAATGATTTAGAAGATCAAATTAACATCTAATGCTATAGTAAGTTCATGATACCTGAAGGAGTGTATATTGGTACATATCATGTTGAAATGGTATGTTTTTTTTGTGCTGAACCAACCTCCTGGTGTTGGCATATGTTTGTGAGAACTAACACCCATGTTTCTTATAATAAAATAGTCAAGCATGTATTTGGCTAAAATTGAGGTGCTAATATTGAGGTTCAATATTAATAATCATTGGAAGTGGTTATTAATTTCTTTTTCATGTAGCTGAAGGGACTTACAGATTTCTCTAACCAGAGTTATATGTCATTAGAGTGGAACTGCATTTAGATTCCTCATTTTGTGAGCTAGTGGCAAGGTATTTTAGTCTGGTTAGAGGTTGTTGTTGGCATTTATTCACCCAAACAGAAGGTTATAGTGTCAAGATTTCTGGGGTTTCTAGAAATGGCAGTGAATGGGCTTCTTCACTTTTTTGTAAGTACTTTCAAACATTTATCTATTTTTACGGGACTGTTAACCCATGAATCATTATGAAGTATAATATCTAATGTGTATATGCTTTTCTGAAACAATGTGTTTTTAGAGCTGAAATCATGTGTACAATCTTTTTCAAATATTGTTTAAAACATAGCCACAAGGATTCTGTTTAACATTGTGTGCACAACCTTAGGAAACTGCTGGGACTATGCAACTGTTAATTTGGATAGATTATCCTTGAAGTTGTCATGGAAACATGCTCATAGAATTTTAACATGCCAATGCGCCTGGTGTCTATATTTGGCAGGACATTTTGCATGGCAATTTAAAGCTGTTTTGAGGGTGTACTCTGCAGCATTTGTAAATATACTTATGACATTAGAGATGACCCCTTAACCTTTGATAACTGAGAAACATTCAGTTATTGCTTTTATTTGTATTTTTGTATACATCTGCAAGAAGATTCCCAACATTTCATTTGAGCTACATTACCTTTGGGTTATTTTTATAGCACTGTTTTTTTTATGGGCCATAAACATCATTAAGGATGTAGTACACTGTGAATTTTCTTATGAGAGAAATGTATGTTTAATGCCATTCACCAAATCAAATTGATCTCTTGTTTATTTAAGTTATATCCAGTGTTCTTTCAACAAAAAACCCTGATCTTCCTTAAGATTTGTATGGATGTTGATATTTCAAATATGCATGTTTCTTATGTTCTTAATCAAGATCAAAATGTGATTTAGTCACTATAATTGTGTTCCCACCTGTATTCTGTCAGTTTAAAAATAAGATGTCAACTGACAATCTGTTAAGTAGGTAACGAAAAATGTAAGAAAATAATGCAAGATGGTTGTTTTTTCTTATATATGCTGTCAGCATTGTCAATAGACTGTTGTCGCTTCCAGGAGATCATGACATTATTGTTGAATGTGAATGAATGTTTGTTGTGTAGTAAGTATGCCTACATACCCTTATGATGTTATGCTCTTGCTGATTATTTTTCTTATCATTTGTACATTTTCTCCCAGTGACTTTTTGGAGAAGAATTGTAATATAGCATTTTGCTGAATGCAAAAATAAAAGTCTATGGATCTTATGTTGATGTTGTGATTTTATTTTACAATGAAGTTTGCAAAAGGGAATCCTAAACCAATTTATTAACAAGAAAAAAGTGATGCAGAGTAGCTACATCTTGGCATCAGTTAACAAATGTTTGGAACACTGCTTACCGAGTTGGTTGCACTACGAGATAATGGAATCGGCGTTGCCTGGGGACGAACATGGTGGGGGAAGAGCAGCAGCGGATGTGACTTCAGTGTGTTTTATTTGACAGTAATCAAAGAATGATGGCACCAAGAATATGTTATATCATAAGGGAGGTAATTTAAACAGCATTGTGATGTCAGCCCATTACGACATAACTCAAAAAAACATATTTTTGTTGTAAAATATTATTTATACTTATACTCATACTATTCCTGATCTCAACTCATTTCCGAAAAGTGGGGTGGTTGGGTAACATGGTGGTTAAAGCGTTCACTCGTCCTGCTGAAGACCCGGGTTGAATGGGTACAATATGTGAAGCCCATTTCTGGTGTCCCCCACTGTGATATTGCTGGAATATTGCTAAAAGCGTCGTTAAGCCATATTTACTCACTCATTTCCGAAAGTTTGTGCAAACTTTCTGAACCGTGTTCCTGGAGAACAGAAAAAACAGCTCACCCGAATGCACCCATGGTCTGTGCATACGCACCAACACCAAGTGCAGTATCTGGTCACTCTCTCAATTCCACAGGGGAAGAGGGGATGGCTGGGTGGGCGCTTTGTAGTGTATGTGTATTTGATATTTTTAATCTAAAAAATACATATTTTACCTTATCCTGACTCATACTATTGCTTGAATCCCATGGAAGGTGGCGGGTTCAACCTGTGGTTCAGATCGAGATCTGTTCTAATTACCCCCTTTGGGAATGCGATATTTTTCTCATATCGTTGTAGGGTGCTAACTCCTTCATGTGAAAGAGAGGAGTAAATCTAATAGATTTCGTCTATTTTGTAAAGTTTGCTTTAGGAAAATATTTTCCTGCTTACTTTAAACAATTATAGTGTTAAGATCGTAAGCTCAACCCACTCATGCTCTAAAGTAAAACATCTTCTGGGTCAGGGGTTCAAAATTAGCTTCTTCTTATGCTTCACTGGCATCACTGGTGAGATGTTTAAGTACCCCATACAGGTCCCAGGCTGGTGCTCTGCATTTCTTTTGTTGATCTTCATACCTATATTCAGCAACAAAAGTTCCTGTGACACCAATATTTGAGTGTATTTTTCAAACAAGTAAAGTTTAGTTTTCAATATTGTAGTACATGTATGGAATCAATTCACAAAAACGCAACTGCTACAGAAAAGCATGCATTCCATGCAAAAGTTGACCTTTATGCAAGCCCCATGCATTTCACTACCCAAGAATTGGTATAAAAACGTGTGTTAACGGGATTCCATATGCACTGTTTAGCATCGTGCTGACACCAACCACTCAGAAAAACAACAAAATTACACAATTATTCAACATTACGAAATGCCACGCCTGTCCAAAAATGAGGGTCTGCGAGCCATTGGTATGCTTAAAGCAGGACCGAGTCAACGTGATGTTGCAAGACAATTTAATGTCCACAGAAACACCTTTTGGTGCTTATGGCAACGTTGGCAACAGACGAATGCAGTCAGGGACCATCCTCGGAGTGGCAGGCCACGCGTAACCAATAATTGACAAGAAAACTGGATTCGAACAACACACCTATGAAATCGATTCCAGCCAGCAACAGTGACTGCAAGAAGCATCCCTGGCCTTCGACGAACATCTTCACAAACCATACGTCGTCACCTCAGATGTGCAGGGATTGTCGCCAGAAGACCCGCCAGACGTCCCATTTTGACAGGAAACCACCGTCAAGCACTTCTACAGTGGTGCAGACAGCATCTACGCTGGACGGTCATGCAGTGGGGACAAGTTCTATTCACTGACGAGTCTCGTTTTCACCTCAGCCACAGTGATGGACGGATTCGAGTGTACCGACGTCGAGGTGAACGTTACGTCAATCATTGTGTCATGGAAGAAGATCGTTTCAGGGGCGGCAGCGTTATAGTATAAGGTGGGATTACAGCAAGACAGAGGACCCGTTTGATAGTGGTAGAGGGTAATATCAATGGACAGCTCTACCGCGACGAGGCACTCGTGAAGAGCAACCTCCTCGTGGTGAGTGCTGGGTAACGCTAATCGCTCTTCCCCCGTGTGGAACCGGGGCAGAATATTTCCACAGCCTCCCATTGCTGGTCGTATGAGGCGACTAAAATGGGCAACCTGTTTGCCGTGGGTTGCGTCCCTGTGTCGGCGGAGGACGGGAGTCTGGTAGTTGAGGGCACTGGTTCCTGGAACTGTGTTCCTTTGCCCAACACACTACTTCGACCCTTACTTCGCCTAGACGGGTGGTAAGATGGGCCCGGTCTTATCAATCGGCTGGTCATGCCAGGCCCTGTGCGTAAAATTGTTTATGCACACCTGTGTTGTATTATAATGTATATTTTGGACTTGGCCATGCATACTTTGTATGAATTACCAATTTTTGATGGAATAAATTGCCTAGAGTCTTACGCCAGAAGGCGGTGGCTCATGGGCCAATCTGGTGATGTTGACCTCTGTATTCTGTATGTCTCCAGTTTCTTGTCATGGACTGAACCTGCCTGGCACTACATCTGGTAGATAAATATAGCTATTCAAGTCATATTTGCTGGAGTATAACATCCCTGTATCCCTGGTGTTTGCATGCTGGAAATCCGATGCACTACAACACTGTCCTTGTTGACACTCCATGGGGGGTGGGGAGCAGGTATGCTGAAACACTTTTCTTTCGCCATGTCTACCAAACAACCTGGTTCACTTCGTAACGACAAAAAAAGACGTCTTGAAGATGATGATTCTGGGAACATTCCCACCAACTCCGATTCATGGGCCCGATTCCTGGTGATCGAGGCTGCTGACAAACTACCTTTAAAATTGAATCCGTTTGCTATTTCCAAAGCTATTAACGGACACTGTGGAGAAGTGAAAAATGTCACTCGTCTCCGTAGTGGTTCTATTCTTGTGGAGTGTCTGAAGAAACAGCAATCTCTAAATCTCTTGTCGATCAGTCAGTTTGCAAATGTTGAGGTTTCTGTTTCAGCACACAAGACTCTAAACTCCAGTAGAGGAATTGTTCGAGACAGAGCTCGATGCCTTTCGGACATATCTGAACAAGAAATTGTTACAGAGTTAAAGGATCAGGCAGTGACTGCTGTTAAACGTTTCACCAAAAAGGTCAATGGTGTTATCACTCCCCTGAATACCTATCTCTTCACATTTGATAGACCAAGTATCCCTCGTTCAATTAAAGCTGGTTATGTTAATATCGGAGTGGAGGTGTATGTCCCCAATCCGCTCCGATGTTATACTTGCCAAAAGTTTGGCCATGGTTCAAAATCATGTGGTCGACCTCATGTTTGCCAGCGTTGTGGTGGTCAGCATGACAGCACTGACTGTAGGGCAGATGTAAAGTGTGCCAACTGTAATGGCCAACATGAAGCCTGGTCAAAGGCCTGTCCTATAGGGAAAACTGAGTCACAGATATTGAAACTGAAACACAACAACAACATTTCATATCTGGAAGCCAAAAAGCAAGTAGCTAATCAGGTGCCGTCAACTTTATCTTATTCTGCTGCTGTGTCTCGTTCTGTTGCTACTTCATCAATAGAATGTCAGACTGAGTTGACATGGGTTCACTCCGTTCAACCAGTTGATACAACATCTGTCATTCAGCCAAACAAATCAGATTGTCAGCCCACTACATCATCCTCAGAATCGCAGACTGATTCCCAATGTTTACCAGACATTGAAAAGCCAGGAAATGTTCATATGTCGAAGACAGAAAGAAAAAAACTAAATAGACAACATCTTAGGACACCCTCTCCTTCAGAGGTGCCTGTCCACAACTCCTTTGGACCTTTTGATATGGAGGTAACTCCGTCTTCTCAGGCCAGTGCTAGGAGTTCTTCACGCTCGCGTGTGAGATTACCTATTGAGCCGCCATGACTCACACGCCTCATTTGATTCAGTGGAATTGCAGAGGACTCAGGAAAACTTTTAATGAGATACAATTGCTCATTCAGGACTTTACCCCATCAGCACTGTGTCTCCAAGAGACTTATCTGAAGCACAATGATATATTTGATTTAAGGCAATATAATTGCTATCATTCGTTTTCACCTCCAGGTGATAAAGCTACTGGAGGTTCTACTATATTGATCAGGCAAGGTATCATCCATAGTACTGTTCCCCTCAATACAAATCTTCAAGCTGTAGCCGTCCGACTTACCTTGCACATTGCACTTACTTTGTGCTCCTTGTATATTCCTCCTTCGAATACTCTTCAGCAGGCTGATCTTCAGAATCTCTATGATCAGTTACCAAAGCCCTGTATCATCATGGGCGATCTAAATGGGCACAACCCTCTATGGGGAAGTCCACATACAAACAGTAAGGGACAAGTCCTCGAAGACTTTATTTCAGACAACAATCTCTGCATATTTAATGACGATTCCAACACTTATTTGCATCCTGCTACAGGAACATATTCAGCACTGGATCTCTCCATCACAGATTCAGATCTTTACAACGAATTTGAATGGTCAGTTCATGATGACCTTTGTGGGAGTGACCATTTCCCTACCATCCTTAAAACGGTTAACCCTACTGATCGTCCACCATCAACACGGTGGAATTTTACTAAGGCTGATTGGTCTTTATATGAATTACTATCCACTGAAAAATTAACACCTGACATTTTTCAACATGTTCAAGATCCGATACAGTTGTTTTCGGACTTGCTGAATGAAATTGCTGGTGCAGCAATTCCAAAGTCCTCTGTAATTCCACATATTCGTAAACCATGGTTTAACAACGAATGCAAACAGGCACGAAAATATAGGAAGAAAGCGGAAAAGTATTTCCGCCGCCATCCTACAGTCCATAATCTAGATCGAGTCAAAATTACAAATGCCAAGGCA